ACTGCAAGTCGGTCAAAGCATCATATGATGCGATGCGCAATTGAAGGGTTAATCAAAATAATAACCTCCACCAGTATTGGACCTATACATACAAATGAAGGTTCGTACACACAAGATGCTGCTGGATACCAGCAGCAGTCTCCGTGGTGTAGTGGTAAGACACTCGCCTGGCGTTCCGCGAGTGCTATGTCATGGGTTCGTATCCTGGCCGGGGAGGATTTAATGGGCGCAATTCCTTAACTGTAGCCTCTGTTTAACGCAACAGTAAAATGTGTACTTGGATGAAAAAACGATTCTTCGCGGCAGGGGATCGTATTCCAGGGACCATAGGATTAAGGACTTGCCCGAAACGCTACGCGTACTAATGGCTCTACAAGAATGTAACAACTCTTGTATATATCTCAAAAAAAAAAAAAAAAAAAAAAAAAAAAAGATGACAAAGAAATTTGGGAAATCCTTAAAGGCCAGTGTGAGGCTATGTTTAGCTCCCCAATAAACAACATGAAAGTTGAAGATCTGGACAGCTTCTTTATGAATGACACCCAAACCCATGCCAATATAACTAATATTAACATAAACACAGAAGACTTTGAAAGAGAAATTGACACCATGCCCATGCACTGAGCCCCATGTCCTGACTCATGGAATTCAATATTCATAAAGAAATGTAAATTACCAGTTGCACAAGCGTTTGGTATAATATGGAGAAAGAGCCTGGATACCAGCAGCACTTCTATCAGCATATCAGCAAATATAGCTCTGCTACACAAGGGAGGTAGTAAAGCTTTGGGAAAAAATTATAAACCAGTTGTACTAACATCACGCATAATGAAATCTGAAAATGCAGAATCGATGACGTTTCGGTTTGTCCTGGACCATATCAAGTCATTAGATAACTTGATAATGGTTGAGCATGGACTGAAACGTTGTCATTTTTCCATTTTCAGTCATGTGGGTTTTGAATCAACACTTCAGCCATGTTATTGTGACTCATTGCTTGCACATAATATAAGTTTTTTAAAGAGTGATTAAGAATCAACTCTCCATTTCTATGGAAGACAATGAACTTCACAACCCAGGTCAACATGTATCTAGAGTGGGAAGATCCTGTCTTTCATTGTTGCTCAACCACTATGACAAAATCATGGAAACATTAGAAGAGAAACAAAATGCAAAATGTATTCACAGACTTTGCAAAGGCCTTTGGGTGGATATAAATAAGAGCTGCCGTGTATGGGCCAATAGGCCTTCTACAGTTACCTTCATTGTTATGTTCGTTCAATTAATGTGAGCATGGAGTGATAGCCCCTAAAATGAGACAAGTAGAAATAACGTGTAAAATAGGGCACTGGATTTTCAACTTTGTCAAACAGAGTGCAAAGAGGAACAGTCAAGCAAATAAGATCAAGACCAAATGCAGTGAGAAGCTGTGTACCTCAGGGCACAGTTCTTCCTGAGTTCTCCCACAGTTGCTTGGGCGTCGTCGAAATGTCGTCGTCCCTCAGGTGGGTTTCCCGTCTTTTTCCAGTGCTGAAATGGGACTGTGTGGACCTGAGGTTCATTCTGGACTTGTCCCGTCTGAACCCCTGGGTTCATTGCCCCTCCTTTCAGATGACGATGCTGTCTCAAATTCGGCTCCTATTGGAGCCGTTCTTGGATGGTGTCCTTGGACCTCAGGGACGCTTATTGGCACGTCCCAATTCATCCGGGTTTCAGGGACTGACTTGGTTTTGTTGTGGGGCATCAAGGTTACTGCTTTTGATGTCTCTTGTTCAGGTTGAATCTGGCACCTCGTGTGTTCACATGCCTTATGCGGGTCGTCGTGGCTTGTCTGCGTATTTTAGGTGTTCGGGTGTTGGCCTACCTTGACGACTGGCTGGTTTGGGCTCCCAGCCGGTCCAATTGTCTGCTAGCCAGGGATTTGGTTCTCTCCCAGCTTGCCGGGATTGGGTTCTTGGTAAACTGGAGGAAGTCCTAACTGGTTCCCTCCCAGGTTCGGACATGGCTGGGTCTTGTGTGGGGACTCTCGAACCGCTTCCTTGTCTCTTCCTCCTGAATCTCTCCTACGTCTGTGATCCTGCCTTCGTCTGTTTTTGGTGGGCCTTTAGGTCACTCGGCGGTTGCTCGAGGGGCTGTGCGGGAGTCTAAACTTTGCGATGTTGGTCTACCCGCTGGGTCAGGTTTAGCTTCGTCGGCTGTTCTGGTTCCTTCGGGGACGTCCCTTCCGCCTCTCTCACGATCACTGGGTTCGACCCCCAGGGGCCTTGCGTTGGCTGCTGCATCGCCGGCTTCCTCTTCGGGTTTTTCGGGGTTCAGTGCCTTGGCGCCTGCTCGAGCCCTCGCTCGATGTGTTCACAGACGCGTCATCTCTCGGCTGGAGCTTTGTGACCAGTGCTCACCAGGCTGGCCAGGGATGGTGGAGTCCGTCCTTCTGTCGAGCCCACAGCATTGTGTGGGATTCTGCAGTGGTGTGATTTGCGCTTCGGAGGGTTCGGGTCGCCTGCGTATAGATAATCCGTCTCCATTCTTACTGCTTCCCGGTAGTTCATTGCCTGATCCGAGGGGGTTCGATGCGGTCTTTGGCTCTTTGGCGCTGGTCGCTTTGGGTGACTCATCTTCTGAGTTCTCAGGGTTTGGCTCTCCTGGCGGTTCACGTGCGGGGAGTGTCCACCATCTTGGCCGATACCCTGTCTTGTTTCGTTTCCCTCTCCACGGAATGGACTGTCGACACCGACTCCTTCCGTTGGCTCTGCCAGATGTTCGGGCGCCCCGAGGTGGACCTCTTCGTCGGGGCGTGGTCGCGGCTCCTTCCCCAGTATGTGGCGCCCTTCCCCGATTTTGAGGCCATTGGGGTCGATGCCTTTCAGCAAGACTGGTTGAGGTGGGGGGTTCCTGTACCTCTTTTCCCTGGTTCAGCTGTTGCTTCGGGTCCTGACTCACTTGGAGACTTACCAGGGGAGAGTAGTCCTCTTGGTCCCCTTGGTGGCCAGCCCAGCTGTGGTTACAGGCGTTGCTTGCATGGTGTCCGAACCCGGAGGTTTTCCTGCAGCTCCGCCTCTTCCAACAGATCAACCCAGAGCGTCACGTGGCTGGTTCCATCTTCTCCTCGAGTCTTCGCGTATGGTCTTTTTGTCTCGAGTTTATCATCATCTCTATAGTGATCAGGTGGCTTCGTTGTTAGTGTCCCACCTGCAAGTTTTGTCTCGGTGGCAGTATGAAGTCTCCTGACGGTCCCTCCAGATCTTTTTTGCATCTTCGTCGTTGTGCTTCGTGCTGTGCTTGGTTGTTTCAGGACCGTTACCTTATGCCTAACACTATCGCCTCGTATCGTGTGGTGCTGGTGGAGCCGCTTCAGCTTGCTTTCGGTATTGATGTTACTTCTATACCATTTCACAAGCTGTCTCGTGCATTGTTTCACCTCCAGCCTGCTCATGTGCAGACTGAGGTGTCCTGGTCTTTGGACAGAGTGCTCTCTTTTCTTTCTTCTCCTCGGTTTGTTGTGGCCCCTTCGGTTCAGGATTCTTTCTCCAAGTCTCTTTTTCTGTTGGCATTGGCCTCTTGGGGTCGGGTTGGGGAGCTTCATGCTTTCCTCCGGCGTTTTCTGATCTTTCTGTCTTCGTGATGGTTTTGTTCGTCTGCAGCCGTCTCCTTTTCTGGCAAAGAATGAGACTGCTGTTTTCCGGAGGGGTCCCTGGGTTGTTGATGCTTGGTTGGTTAGGCCGGGGTACATCATGTTTTGTGTCCGGTTGCGACTTCGCCATTATTTGCACGCCACGGCTTATGTGTCCGGGGATATGCTTTGGGTTGATCCGGTTTCCCATGTTCCCTGTTCGCGGTTGCGGATCTTCCAGGTCGTCTGCAGAGTTATTAATTAAGGCTAGCCAGCCTGCGGTCTATCCCCGTTCCCATGACGTTCGTAAGTTCACTGCTCTTGCTGCCGTCTTTGGCAACATGTCCTGGGCTGACATTCGAGCACGGGGCTTTCGGCGGTCGAACAGGGTCCTGGCTGCTCATTACCTTGTGAAAGTCCCTGGGCCTAGTCGGGCCTGTATCGCTTTGGGTCGGCGGTTGCAGCCGGTTGTCTCGACTTCGAGTTGAGAAGTGAGCAGCGACCGCCTCCCACGTAAGTCGCTAAGTTTTTCCTCTGTGGGTAGTTAGCTCTGGAGAGCTGAAGGGACTCCCCCAGAAAACCAGCGTTGAATGTAATGAAACGCCATTTTCTGGATGAGACTCAGAGGCTCCCCGGCATCCCTCCCTCCCTCCGGTCGGCGGTTTTTCGCTTGTTTCGACACCCAGCCTAAGAACTGAAGGGTGGATAGCCGGCATGAGGGGTCTGGGGCTCCCCCTTCCCCTTCTGGGGGAGGGTGTGCTGTGCAGACAGTGGCACAGCGACGTGTGATGTCATGATCATTTGCTCGTTTCTTTTAGGGGGGTTCTATCCACTTGTTCGGCTTGTGGTAGCAATAATTACCCCTGAATAGGGGTTTGTTTAGGGATTCTTGCCTTTCTGGGTGCCTGACCCGGTCAATGGCAGACACAGAATGCTTCCAACCACATGGGGGTTTCTATAGGCCATTGCTCCCCCATGCCTCTCTTGGGGGGGGCCAGGTTCTGGCTTGTGGTCCCCGGTAGGCCCACAGAACTCCATACACATGACTGATGCTAAAGTCTGACATTAGCATATCAGCCTAGTAAGCTCCGGGGAGCCTCCGGGTCTCACCCAGAAAATGGCGTTTCATTACATTCAACGCTGGTTTTTTGTTCAGTTCTGCACTGATCTCTACCTCCAAGCATTTCTTTATATTAATGAGTGGGTCTCATTCTGCTCCCTGGTAGATTCTCGTGGGTCTTCATAGGCCTGGTGTGTTTCTCAAAGTTTGGTCATTGCCAGAATGTGGGATTGGGAAGCTACTTAGTAGCCAAACAATAAGTAGTGTTCAATTCAGCAATAAGTAAATGCATGTATTCTTAATATTTCTATATTTTATCATGTGTTTCAGAATTGTCCCTTGCCTGATGAAAGAGTGTATCAATGTGACTATGGTACCTTTTGTTCTTCCTGTCATCTTGTTAGTAGCCGAAAATGCAAGTAAAGAAGAATTTGTGGAACACATCCTCCCTCACTTGAAACCAATCATGAAGCTCTCGGAACCAGTACAGGTATTATCAGTTTAAATTTCATATTTCTGCCAGAATTGTGCATGATTTTTGCATTTTTTTTATTTCCAGCATAGTTTTTGGGTCATATCTTGAGAATACTTCTTGGCTCAACATCATACTTGAAACACTTTCTCAGTCAACTACTGGACATTGTATCTGGACTCTGGACTGAGAGGACCTTAACCCCAGTCCTGTACTGCTTATATTGTGACAAATTGGTGGTGTGGCAAAAATGAAGTGTTCCTCCCCCCAAAAAAATTTGTAAAAAAAAAAAAAAAAAGTAATTTGAAAACCACTTACTTTGGCTGTAGCGACGTAGAGAAAATGGGCCGTGTTGTCATGGCAACATGTTCGCCGTACAGGAGGCTCCCGGAGGTGGTCGTGCAGGCGATTAAAGACTCTTAGAGTTGTCATTTCATCCATTTTTCAATGCATTTTCATTGCTTTCTTATTACTTTTTCATCATATCTGTTGCACTTGTGTGTTCTTTACAATATGTACACAGTAGAACTTTCATAATGTGCCAAGGAACTGTGATATACTTGTCAATAAAGTGTTCACTTTTTCAGAGTTTAGCCTATATTCTCCTATTCCCACCTATAAGAGTCATACTTCCCACTCGGTAAATAACCAGACGAAGTTTTATTTGATTTTATAACTCAGTGGACAGCGCTTCGGATTCATATTCCTAAGGTTCCGGGTTTGATTCCCAATGGAGGCGGAAACAATTGGGCAGAGTTTCTTTCACCCTGATGCTCCTGTTAACTAGCATTAAATAGGTACCTGGTAGTTAGACAGCTGCTACGGGCTGCTTCTTAGGGTGTGTAACAAAAAGGAGGCCTGGTCGAGGACCGGTCCGCAGGGACGCTAAGCCCCGAAATCATCTCAAGATATCCTCAAGATATAACACTTTAGAGGGAGCAAGATACTGCCATTAGAAAAATTTTTGATTTAAGTTTATTTGGGATGAGGATAGAAGCGACTCCATCATCAAGATGGCGGTACATCTTGAGAGAGAGAAGAGTTTCCTGCTCAAGGAGAACCCTAGTGCATGCTGGGTACATCATCAGGTGAGGTGTGTTTTGTCAGTGGTGAGGGCTTGGCCAGGTTGACCAATGGTGTAGCGCCCCAGGCATGATATAGCATGACGTCGGGCGCCCTGCAAGGAGGGCGGGAGATCTGATTCACTCGCTACCAGTGGTCAGGCTGAGTGGAGGTGCACTCAGGTGTTTCCCTGTTCTGGAGAGGTATTGGCCTCCAGACAGTATAAACTCTATCAGCTTTCGTGCGCTAACGAAGTGGAGTGTTCCATAGTCTCCCGAGGAAGTACGGGGTAGAGCCGGATGGCGTGAGGATAACACCTACGGCTCGGTGATGGCAGCGCTCCTGGGTAACTTTGAGAGGCGGCGCTGGGGGGTTGTGATAGAACCTGCAGGCCGTGGATGATGGTGGAGCTGTGCGATGATGATTTGGTAGTAGTCCTGGTCCTGTGCAGTTCAACGACCGCTTCTGCAGGAGAAGAATTCACACCTCGAAGCAACATATGAGGTAATGGACCAGTACAAGAATGGGTGTCAGTCTGGATAGGCCAGGCGACATCGCCTTCAACCTAACATCTGGTGAAAAATATTTTGTGTGGTTTTTGCCGCTCGAGTATGGAATGTATATAATGGACGTCGCTGAAGGAGGAGTCATTCACCGGCATGGAGGTTGACACAGACGTCGTGGAACAGTGAGGAGCTACTCTGCGCATCTACGATTTGCTGGATCTACAGTCTACAGTGTCGGTCTTTAAGGTGGTGTACAGTCTGGTGACTGTCAGTCAGGCGCTGGTTCTCGATTTTTGGTGGGGTGTTATGTGTTGTGTGTTTTGCTTGGCTACTTTGCATGCGTTTTTTTGTGGCCTTACTCTGTCAGTATGTCTTGTTCTTCGTTACAATGTGGGGCGCAGCCCCAATTTTCGGTGCCTTTTGTTTAGTCTTTTGGCACCTGGATCTTTTCTCCATATCTGGGCTCTCCCTCGTTTCCTCCATCCTTGCTGTCTGTACACTCAGTCATTGACTTGGGCTCTGCTCTCTGGACTCTTCTTCCTTGCCTGTCTTCAGTGCCTGGCTGCTCCCTTATTTACATTGGGGTCATCTGTATATGTCGTTGGTCGAGTACTTTTCATTACTGGCTGTTACTTGGATCCTCTTCGTTCGTCCTATTCATTGTACTCTCTTGTCCCTAGCTACTGGTGCTTGGACCGTATTTAGGGTCTTTTCATTGCCTAATTCCATATTTCCTACCTCTATACTACACATTGTTGTGTATCTTGGTAGGTGCTTATTAGCTATATTGATGGTGCTTGGTTGGCCTCTGTACATATTCAGTTTCCTGATTCGGGACTGCCCCAGTGTTTGGTATTGGACCAGTGTTTTTCAGTTTTCCTTGTCTGTCACTGCCTGCTTCTGTGTTGCTATGTCTGTGGGTGGATGTAGCTTTCCGATCGACCACTTCTGCCCCTATGGTTCCTTTTTGTTGTAACAGGAGGTGCTAGGATTGAGGTCCTGGCTATGGATTTTCTTTATGTTCCTTTTCCAGAACGTACATTTTAGTTTTAGTGCAGTACACGTCTTGAGTGGTTCTCCTCATATATAACTCGGGGACGCGTGCATCGTTCTTCCCTGCTGAAGCTGGTTGCATTACTCCTGCGAGTTACGGGGTCGCTGTTTTTTGCTTTGAGTTTTGCAATTCGGTTCTTGGTGCTCATTTTCCTTGTTGGCCTCTGCCTGGGCCCTGGCTCTTCAGTTTTTGTCGCCATTTGGTCCTAGCTGTTGCGGTGACTGCGGTTCGGCTCTTTCGGCAGGTGGATTCTTCTCGTTGCCTTCAGTTTTCGGCCTTGTTGGTTCTTCAGGGGGTCCTGGAGGGGGGAAGGGTTCCTCCCAGGCGGGGTTTGTCTGATTGCCCAGGTTGGTTCCTTCCAGGCTCGCTGGGTTTGGGTTCCTGGTTCCCTGGCGGCTGTTCCTTCTGGTTCTTTGCCAGCCTTGGTTGGGGGTCGCTGCTTTGCTCGGTGTCCGTTCCTTAGGGTCTTCCTGCGGCTCCGCCCCTTTTTGCGAATTTGTCCTGCCCAGTACGAGCCTGGTTCGTTTTTCCCCTCGAGTCTTCGCATCTCAGGGTTTTTGTCTCGAGTTCTCATCACTTGTGGGGGCACTGGTGGCTTCGTTGTTGGTCTCCCACCTGCGTGCTTCATCTCGGCGGCAGTGGGTAGTTTCCTGGCGGTCCTTCCAGTTTTCCTATCACTGCGTAGGTGTACTGCGGTCTCTGATAGGGTTGTTTTGTCTTTCCCTTCGGGGTTGTTGTAGGACCGTCATTTGATGCCGAATACTGTTGCCTCGTTTTGGGTGGCGCTGGCAGGGCCGCTCCAGCTTGTGTTCAGTGTTGCTGTTCCTTCTGACGTACTGTTTACGAAAGAAGAAACAGTCCATGGGAATCACACACTAGCTACTGTCTACACTGCCAAGAAGAAACACATCACCACTTCTGTGGTGGTGTGTTTCATATCAGAAAGAAGTGCCCAACACATGATGTTACCGGCCATAATTGCAGCAAGTAATTACACTATGCTAAAGTCTATGAGCCAAAAACACCTGTGAGTGTGAGAGAATGATCTCTCAGCACAAGCTCATGTTTACTCATATTGTGAGATGTGCTTGCAAGGTGCTTGCATGGTGCTTGCATGGTGCAACTTTCTTAGGTTTGGACAGAAATGAGTCATATTTGTCATCTAAGGTGTCTCTGTTGTCTAAGGAATTCAGTAGCATTGTCTATGTTGACTTACGTCATCTCATTGAGCCGGAATCAAATGAGTAGTTGGTTGCTACCAGGTGGTAGAGGCCCTAACCCAAGGAGGAAAGGTTAACCATTAGGCCAGCCCCCAAATTCCTTGCCTCACTGTGACTACCACAGTGGCGACATCTATCGAGAGGGAGGAGAACATACACCTCACTCGTAGCTTGAATCAGGTGCTTATTCCAATGAGAACGTGAGTAATTACCTAAGTGTAATTACCTAAGTGTAGTTACAGGATGAGAGCTATGCTCGTGGTGTCCCGTTTTCCCAGCACTCTTTGTCATATAATGCTTTGAAATTACTGACGGTTTCAAAGCATTATATGACAAAGAGTGCTGGGAAGACGGGACACCACAAGCGTAGCTTTCATCCTGTAACTACACTTAGGTAATTACACTTAGGTAATTACTAACGTTCTCATTGGAAGTAGCACCTGATTCAAGCCACGAGCTTGAAGAACACAGATTGTCCTGCCCACAGTGAGTGGGCAGGACCTAGTGTTTTGATTAGCTGACGTTATCAGAACAGAGTACAGTACCTAAAGATTGTCGGCTGGAGCACATGAGCCTCATTTGGGACTACATGCTTGCGATGGGAGATCGTCTTGGTTACGGCTAACAAAGACAATCTTTTTCCCCCCGAATTGCAGTTATATCATCCCTAGGACACCTGCCAGTACCAGGATCAAATCACTGGTGACTGTAGGTGTGTCTGGATATCAAGCATTGGACTCTGAAAGACTTCAGGAACCTGAGCGGGAAAAGCCAGCTCCACTAAAGTAGTGTGAAAAGGACATACAGTAAGTGGAGTGCAACGGATTCGGTGCACAGAAAAGTGTATCCAAGTGACCTGTGTGTGTGGAGTGGAAGGACTGATTGAGCTTTGTGCTCTCCTAAGACCCGTGACTAAGAAATTAGCGTTAACCAAGTGTGTTCAGTGTACCGGGGTCGAGGTGGAGTTTTGTCACCTCGCCCAGGCAGGGCGGCAATGTCTGTGTGTACACACCTGTGTGTGGGTGTGTCAGAATGAACGACAAGTGTACAGTATCGAGAAGGTGAACTGTGACTCATCTCAAGAATCACTGGATGGTAACATCCACGTACTCACCTAATTGTACTTGCCTAATTGTGATTGCACGGATTGGGCTTCAGTTCTTTGGTCCTGCCTCTCAACCGTGTGTTCGTATGCTGTGTACACGCCTCTGTGTGTGGGTGTGTTGGCACAGCAGCTCAACAAGTAAGTGTAACTTGTACTTAACATAGATAAGGCATTCAGTGTGGAAAAAAAGTAATTTGTCCACTGTATATGTGTGTGTGTGAGGCCTTGTTCTCAAGTTGCATGAGAGGGACTGTGGTCTCTGAGGTGACTTGTGGGTGAAGGTTCGTCAAGAACGCCAGCTGGAGGTTGGTAGCATAACTTCCTGGCCTTGAGACGATTAGGTGATGCTCCCTCTGTGTGTGAAAGTACGTGAAGCGCATACATGCATAGTGAACGATGCACTGGACACTCATCCTCTGTCATCAGTCAACATCTGCAACATCAGCGGTGCTGTCAAGGTGTTAAATAAGTAGGTGATCTGTAGGGTCAATGTTTAAGGTAATGGAGTTCTGGGTTGGGGTTAGGTAAGGCCTGGCCCCTTGGGTAACAATTCCCAGCAAAAGAATAAAAGATACCAAATATATGGTTTGTTGTCTAATGTGATCGCCTAACCCCCAACTTAAGAAGGGTATGGAAAACTCCAGCTTTAAAATACCTATATATAATTTATTAACCCTAGCCCCCCAAATACAACAAATACTTCACCACCTCGATCTTACGTTCTCTCAGACCCCACATAGATAGGAGATGAGAGTTACATACAGCAAACTAGAGGTAAGGTTTACTTTCCTGAAGGGACAGTACACACCACTTATGTGATACGTACGTGTACCACCATGTTTGTGGTACACACTACAAATGTCGAGTACACAATGTGTCAACTTTGTGAAAGAGAAAACATGCACTCTCTTGAACATTATATTGTAGAATGTCCCATATTGACTGACTTTCGCCCTCCTGGGCTAAGGTAAGCTGAACTGTGTACTTACTATATGAGTACTGGAACACTTGATGATATATTGGACTTGTACCCAAGATTAACCATGTAATGTATCAATTATATAATGTATGTATGTGATGTAACTATATAACCTGAGCTTGTAAAACCACCTTAATCACCTTCAGTGATTAAGTGCTTAATTGCACACTAGTTTCTCTATCAGCTATCTCACTCTGTCAGAGTAAAAGAGACAAATGTATGTGAATGCATGTGTGTGTGTATGTATATGTATGTGTATAAAGTATGTATGGAAGCTGATCAGAATTACATTTCACATTTGTAAATGCACATTAATGACATTATGTAAAAGACACATCAAACACTTTATGTAGGGCATACGTAAATCTGTGTATATATGTATTTACGTATGTAGGTTAGCTTAGCATTTTAAAAGCACCGAATCACCTTCTGTGGTTGAGTGTTCAATAAACCCTTGAACTATATGTTTAACACATCTCTAACCCTGTCCATGGAGGACAGAAGAAAATGTATATATGATGGTTAGCATTGTAAATGTGTGGCCACGTCTGTGGTAGAAAATAATAATAATAATAATAAAAAAACACTTATGTTAACATCCTATAACACTCAGCACGAGTTTACTAGTCAACCCCACAGAACTTATCACTTGGGACCCACAATAATCGACTAGGACACACACACAATTTGCACTTAGAAGAACTAGTGGCACGGTAACACTTAGATATGTACTTATTTTGTTATTTTAAGAATAAGGAAAGAGAAGAGTGGAAGTAAGAAAAGAGAATTTTCCTCCTCCTCCTCCTCCTCCTCCTCCTCCTCCTCCAGTAGAGTACAGTACTTTATATCCATTTAATGCTTAAGATAAAAATGAAGGTCAGATATAGGCTGGTGTGTGTGTGAGGAAGTCTGCAATATTCACTCATAACAGTTTAACTTGATGTTATCAATTGTTTGTTACAGATTATGTTGCAACTGATGCAAAAGATGGAGTTACTCCTTAGTAAAACTCCAGCCGAGGATGTGCGTAGTGATGTCTTGCCACTGTTGTATCGTGCTTTGGAATGTGACACCCAGCAGATCCAAGAGTTGTGTCTAAGTGTCATACCATCATGTGCACAGCTTGTAGAAAACCATGCCATGAAGAATGCCCTTCTTCCCAAAATTAAAAAGCTATGTCTGGGAACTGGATATCTCTCAGTAAGCAGAAAATAAAAAAAAATTTCTTTTTTAATATACAGTCTTCCCTGTCGATTTTATCAATTCCTGTTACTATTTTGTACGTAGTGATCATATCACCTCTTTTTCTTCTGTCTTCTAGTTTTGGCATATTTAATGCTTCTAACCTCTCCTCGTAGCTCTTGCCCTTCAGTTCTGGGAGCCACTTAGTAGCATGTCTTTGCACCTTTTCCAGTTTGTTGATGTGCTTCTTAAGATATGGGCACCACACAACAGCTGCATATTCTAGCTTTGGCCTAACAAAAGTCATGAACAATTTCTTTAGTATATCTCCATCCATGTATTTAAATGCAATTCTGAAGTTAGAAAGTGTGGCATAGGCTCCTTGCACAATATTCTTAATGTGGTCCTCAGGTGATAGTTTTCTATCTAGAACCACTCCTAGATCTCTTTCTTTATCAGAATTCTTTAAAGATTTCTCACATAATATATAGGTTGTGTGGGGTCTATGTTCTCCTATTCCACATTCCATAACATGACATTTATTAACATTAAATTCCATTTGCCAAGTGGTGCTCCATATACTTATTTTGTCCAGGTCTTCTTGAAGGGCATGACAATCATCTAAATTTCTTATCCTTCCTATTATCTTAGCATCATCAGCAAACATGTTCATATAATTCTGTATACCAACTGGTAGATCATTTATGTACACAATAAACATCACTGGTGCAAGAACTGAACCCTGTGGTACTCCACTTGTGACATTTCTCCATTCCGATACATTTGTGTGTGTGTGTGTGTGTGTGTGTGTGTGTGTGTGTGTGTGTGTGTGTGTGTGTGTAATATAAATGCAGTGACAGGGTGAGAGCTATACGTGAGGTGTCCCTTCTTTACATTTGTTAATTTATTTTGAAATTCTGAAGCTTCTGATGATCTTGACATATGCTACCTTCTCAAGTGATTATATCCATTTAGCACTGTTGGCAAAATCAATTTTCGTTGTTTCTGGAGGAAGCCTCTTCTGGCTCCCAAAAGCAATCTTCCTGAGATTGCTTCACAATAAAAGATCACATCAGCCTTGGAGAGTTCTGTTTGGCTTATCGGGGAACAGAGTCAGAACTTGATCCCTTTAGAAGCAGGTGACAATCCTCTGGCCAGGTGACCTGGCCAGAGGAAGCCTTCAGAAAATGGGCATAGCTTTATAAAACTGGAGGCTTCATAGAAAATGAAGCCTCAGAAAATGGCCAAACTACTGCTGCAAACGAGTCACACAAAACAAAGGGTTCACTCAAACGAGCTTGAATCTCTTAAGTACCAATTACCACCACCAGGTGGCCCAGCTCTAGCTCCCAGCTGGCTCCCTTTGTCAGTTCTGTTCCTAATGTTGGTGTCACCACAATGACTTGTAATGCGTCTGGTCACGCCAGTTCGTGGGCGAGCCCCAAACTTCAAGATAAGTGCTGGCCTTCTTTGGACTTGCTTGTCCTGTGGGGATCATTTGCTTATTTGTATTGTTTCCAGTTTTAGTGTGGCTTCACATGCATTTTCTGTGGGGAGCCCCTTCGGCTCCGTGGAGCTATCGGACTGATATATGCTATATTAGTCTGGGGCTTCAGTCAATAGAGTTCTGTCTACCAGAGACCACTAGCAAGAACATGGCCCCCCTCAGAGAGGTGCAGGGACCAATGGCCTAAGAACCCCCTCCCCTTGTATTTGGGGGTATTCCATGTCTGCCATCAACCGGGGTTAGGCACCCAGAAAGGTAGGCAACTCAAAACAAACCCCACTTGGTAGGAAATTGCAAAAAACCCAAGACCCAACAGAGAAACATACCTCCCCAAAGGGCCTTCTCTTTCCAAAGAGAAGGCTCAATGGCCAAAAAGGCCCAAGGGCCAAAAGCAAGCAACCCTTATGTGATGAGAATGGACACCTAGCACATGAACAGTGCAGGTAATCAAACCCTGAGAAGCCGGAAGCCAAGCTACATGAAGAGTCCAGCTCCACAGGATAATAGACCGAAGTGATTCTGCCCTCCTCCTCAATTGAGGCAATGAATCACGCAATACAGTGGTACCTCGGAATGCGAGTGTCCCTGTATGTGAGTTTTTCGGAAGACGAGCAGGATTTACTCCAAAAATATGTCTCGGAAGGCGAGGGTTACCTCGGGACGCGAGTTTGTTGATACGTGTACAGGCCGACTGGCGTGTGGTGGCATGGCGATCGCGCCTCAGTTTACCAGTGTCTCGTGTCCAGTGACTATCCCACCTGAATTCTTCACAAGGATTTACAGTTTTTTATCGTTTTTTTGGCCATTTGAGCATAAAAGTTGTCATTATATATCTTGCCATGGGTCTCAAGAAAGCCATTGGTAAGGTTCAACCTAAGAAAATAGCTGTGAGTAGAGGCAGTAGAGGATGTCCCTTCTTGATTAAGAAAATGTGTGAAGTATGGGAAGAACTGCAAAGTTTTGTTGAAAAAACTCACCCAGATAAAGCTGTAGCAGGCCGTTGCATTGACCTTTTAAATGATAATGTGATGTCTTACTACAGACAAGTGTTAAAATGTAGGGAAAAACAAGTGTCATTAGACAAATTCTTAGTAAAACAAGCAAGTCCTAGTGGTATGCAGGCAAAATGTGCCAGAGTGTGCATACCAGTGAAGTCCTCACTGCCTGATGTGATAATGGAAGGGGACTCCCCTTCCAAACAGTAACTCCTCTCTTCCTCCCACCTCCTCACCATCTTCCATACGCCTACAGCATTCAACAGCAAGGTAAGTAATAACTTGAACATAGTTTTGTAGGTTTATTTAGATGAATTAGGTATAAAAATTTAGTTTGATGTGGGGTTTTTGGGGTAGTCAGGAACGGATTAATTCATTTCCCTTTATTTCTTATGGGGAAATTAGCTTCGGAATGCGAGTTTTCGGAATACGAGGCGTCTCCAGGAACCAATTAAACTCTTAAACTGAGGTATGCCTGTACATTACCACCAGTTCACTACAAACCCAAATCCAGCGAACCGGAAAAAGATGAGAGCCTATGGCTAGCTGACACTCAGACTGACAGTCTTTGAGGTAGGCCAACACACAAACCCCTAACAAACCCACACTAGTCTGGTAAACATACGGAGAGGGGGTCAGGTTCAAGCTGAAGGGAAGAGCCCAGAAGCAGTAAGCACGACACCCCGTGGTAGCTTAACCAGTCCTAAACCCCTGGTAAATAGGGATATGCCAATATTCTTCCTGAAAAACCAATGACACCAACCAATCTCCATCTTGTAATTGCAGGTGAACTGGGCCTAAGTGGTCATGTGGATGTGGAAGGTTAGGCAGAGAATGAAGCAGTTCAGACCCAAGAAATTGAGGATGTACTTGATGGCCTCCGAATCCCTCTTCAGGAGTGGGAACAACTGGGACACCTACCAGAGGGATGAGTTCATTTCGCCCATGCCCTAGGCCAACCAATCCACATTGACCAGATTTAGTGCTTGGAAGGACTCCTGACCCAATAGACTTGACCCCCAGATACAGGAGGGTGGGATCAACCAGCTCCTCCAAAGACACTGGGAAACTACACCCAGGGTCTCCACCAAACACCCATAAATCATGGGACCAGAAGCTGGAAAAATGGGCAAAATACCAGTACCTCCCAACAAGGGGTGAAACATGAATGGGCTGGCATGGGGCCCTGAGCAGAACTAGGCCTCCGCAATGTGTGATTGCAATGTCGAGAGGAGAAGGAAGTGCAACGGCCCTGGAACCTGACCCACCAAGGACCTAACCCAATCCACAACGAGCGAGGTCCCCACCCGACCAGACTGCCTCCGAATAGGGTAGAACCCTTACCAAACAACACCTGAGCAATAGGATGACAAAAAAAAGCTGCCACTGAAACAATCTTGCCAACTACATAGGAAAGCGGAGAGGCAAAAACAGGGAGGCAGCCATAAGGGTAAGACTAAGAGACTAAGCCAAATCTAAACAGTGGATCAGCATGGCTTCCCGACATACAAGGCAGGCCGAATAAAATGCTGCCACTGCCACCTGAAGGAGAGGGGCAAGCATTTGGGCAAGGCCATCTGGGCCATAACTGCAGGCTATACAACCTCTGCCCCTGGAATGAACCCCAATGACACTACGTCCTCAGGGAGACACTCAGCAAGCCGCTCCATGAAGACCCAGACACACAAGACCACAACCAATTGCGAACACGTCCTGTGGTCATTTGCAATAAGAGCCTTGGAAAGCATAGACAGATGAACTTGGAGCTGCAATTTATCCACATCATTGGGAAGTGCCGGAACAAACAGCCCCACTTCAATCCTGCCTAATTGAGTCTCTCAGAAATGCCTGTATACCCTGGCACAACCAAGAGCCAAAACATAGGAATCCAATATTCCTGAATAGCCTAAGGCGAGGCATCCCACCCCACGGATAGAAGGATAGGCCTCACGGGGGCGAACTCCCGAGCTGTGTAAGGGGAGCATTAGTGAGCACATGGGAAGAGAGTCCTGAGTACATGCAGCCCAAAATGTCAAATGAGCCAAGCCCACTCAACATGCCAGAAAAAAACACTTGTGAAGCCTACACTAAAATAGAACAAAACACACTAAAGCAAATGGTCCTACAAGACATCTGAATCCTAGGATGGCCAGCACTTAGCTTGAAGCTTTGGAGCTCACTCGTGAGCTGGTGTGACCGGAAGCATTGCTGGCAGGTATGGAAACACCTGCATCAGGGACAGAACCGGCTTGGGGAACCACTGAGACCCAAAACTGGGCCGCCTGATAATGGCAATTGGTACTAATTAGGTTTGAGCTCATTTGAGTGAATCCCTTGTTCCATGCGACTCATTTACAGAGTTGTTTTGTGGCTTTCAAGGGTTCATTTTCTGTGAACCTTCAAGTTGTCTGTAAAGCTGCCCTGACTTTCTTGAGGCTTTTCTGGGGCGAGCCCCTAAGGCTCCCCAGAGCTATCCAGGCTGATATGGATATCCTAACTATTTTGCATCAGTCAAT